AGGTTTGTACAACACCAAAAAAAAACATCTACATCAATCATTGGCCTCCTGATGATCATACTAGATGTTCTTTACTATCAATAACGACCAACGCACCAGCACTACGTCACAATTACAGAACATCGACTGTTTACAACAGTAAATGATCAGCCTAAAACTCAACACCACCGCGTATTTTTTACGGTTTCTAGTATGAACAATGTAAAGAACCGCGTACCTTGGATTCGTTGACCGTTCGCTTACAAAGTCGCGTATTTTTTAATAAGTGTTTACACGACTATATTTTATTATTATTTTTTTAATTATATTTGTTCTCATTGTTATTTCATGCTAGTATTAAGACTCCATCTCAAGTTCATGTACATTCAAGTTATTATGAAAGCCTTCGTCTTTCAACGCGAGGATTATGTATGCTACGGAATGCCTTTAGCAAAGATTTAGTAGACCAGTTGTTACAAACATTGTTGATTATATTATATCGTGTGACAGCTCAACTCCAGCGTCTTGCTTTACTCTTCCCTTTGCCCACCCAGAACGGCAAATCGATGACCTCCGTGTGCAATTGTCATCCATGCTCAGTTCATTGTCGTAAGTCAGTCAATTGTTTTATATGTTATTCTTTTTGTAGCAAGCGCCTTCGCTTGAATAGTGAATCGTTCGGCCATTGTACGCCGTTATTTTTTATTTGTTTATTACACCCTTGGGTTGCCCTTGCACGCCATTAGTGATTGGGCCCTGACCATCACTAAGTATCTTCATTGCCGTAGTGTTTTACCGCCGTCTGTTCTTATCTGCCATTACGCGTCCGGATCTACACTCTGACTCGTCATACTCAGATGCTCGACACCATTAGACAAGATCTCATACAGTCCACTCATCACTATCAACAACTTCATCTATTCAGCTGAGTTTATATTATTTATAATATTATTTATTGTTTGTTTTAATTGAGATTAACTACTTTGTTTTATGCCGCTTCGCCGGCCATTAGTATTTAAGGGCCCCCGTTACCCCTTAAATATAAAGATACTCTCTAAAGAATTTCTAATACATGTGGTTATTTGTTTTTTAATTATTGTCTACTCTCATTTACTTAGAGGATATACAATTAGCCGTCATCCCTCAGGTGACCCACTCCCGCTTCATTAATAACGATTTAAACAGGCTTAAGGTAAATCGGCATTCTAGTGCGGTGCACGACTAGCCGTTTTATGGTCTAGCTATCTCGTACAAAACAGTAAGAGATCAACCAGTAACATGGACCCATTGATGTTATATACAGAGTGTCTTATACAAGGAATTTATATGTTCTTTAATGGTGTCAGGTCTATACTATGCTGGACCACTAAAGCTGCGTTAACTGAATGTTCATTATGATATATCGCAAAATAATTTATTTGGTAAATTTAGACTAATGTTTTTTGCTCTAATTTAATAGAAATAAATTTTCTAACGCTTCCTACTAATTTATTAACAATAACTTTATCATTAATATCAAGAGGATTTTTTAATGCCAGACCATAGAATAGCCATATTACATTATGTAAAAAGTACTTTATGTAGAATCGAATTTCTTTAAGTTATGATTTTTAATTTAATTTTATATTTTAAGTCATATTTTAAAAAATAAAATACTGTCCTTGAAATATCCATGTTATATCCATGGTGTCTTATATGTTCTTTAATAGTGTCAGTAACTATTTCTTGTGTCAGATTATATTATGATGGAACACTAAAGCTGTATTAACTGAATGTTATTTATGATATATCGCAGAATAATATATTTGGTTAATTTCGACTAATGTTATTTTCTCTAATGTATTAGAAATAAATTTTCTAACACGTTATTCAATTTTTTGTGCTAATTTTAAATCTGCAATTATATCTTTTTTATCACCACTAATATTTCATGTTATTGCTAATAATTTAAAAACTATAGGAAAATAATATAGTTCTAAATATTTCAATTGTATATTCTGTTTAAATACCAAGAGTTACACTGATTCATATTTCTATTGAAACGTTTTATTATGATATGTATACAAAAAATATAATAAGTGATTTTAACGAAATTTTGGGTTTTTCATAAATTTACTATTAACGGTAACTTCTCGTATAATTTTAGACGATTTAGTTTAACAATTTACATATATTCATGGTAATTGAACATAACTAAAATATATAAGTATTTCATTCGACATTTAATTAATATTCTAATAGAAAAAGAATTTGCAATACAATGTAAAAATAATAGCTACTTTCTTGTGTCAGGTCTATACTATTCTGGACCACTAAAGCTGTTTTAACTGAATGTTCAATATGATATATCACAGAATAATTTATTTGGTCATTTCGACTAATGTTTTTTTCTCTACTTTAATAGAAATAAATTTTCTAACACTTCCTACTAATTTATTAGCAATAGCTTTATCATTAATATCAAGAGGATTATATAATGCCAGACCATACAATAGCCATATTACGATATGTAAAAATTACTTTATGTAGAATCGAATTTCTTTAAGTTATGATTTTTATTTATATTTTATATTTATAATCAGTTTTAAAAGTTGAGTCGCATTTTAAAATATAAAATTTTGTCCTTGAAATTTCTTAAATAACGAAATTGTGTAAATTTACGCACATAAGTAATCATTGCAATAATAAAATAATAACCAAGTGTTTCTCCCAAAACTCATTTGTATGTATTAAAATTGTATAAAATGGAACATTAACATTATCGATTATTATTTCTTTAGTATCGTTATACTATTAATAACAAATTTATTTTACAGATTTATAATGTCTTCAAATTTTTAATTATTAATCTCAAAAAAATGTTATTTCGATTCTTCATTTTAAATTTTTATAATATTTGGATTTTAAATCAAAGNATTATGTCGACTTATGTCAGATGATACAAACTTAAGTTTGAACTTGAACTCTGATAAAATATGGAAAGAATCATTGTAACAAAATTGTATTAATATAAACAAAATTTTATTTCGAGTCCGATTAGTAGTAGTATAGGTAAAATATTTTTTAAAACATATCTTATGGATGAATATTTAAATTTGAAGGAAGCTTTTTTATATATCACATGAAATCCTATTTACTATAAAATAAATGTAAAGTTCTTTTATTATAAATATGATATTTTCTAAAAAAAAGTTTTTACAAAAATTTGATTAAATTTAAAAAAGAAGTGAACTATGAACGTAATATGTGTTGAACCAAATCAAATATTAACAGATTTTTTTCATATTTTATCCATTAGTGGTTAAAGGATTAATTTAAAATATTCCTCTACATATAATAAGAGTTGATCATTATAATTATTTCAAAATAAAAAAACATTTAAAATATGAATCAAAACCAAAAAAATATTTAACTCAAAAGGTACAAGAATTATAAATATTATAGCTACGATTTATCGGTCGTATTGCACGAACGTCTTTATCACGTGTACGTTTGAAGTCATCCCCCCATTTTTAGAGTACTATTTTGTTTGAGCGTTTATCAGTCTTTTTACCCGTTTAGAAACCAGAGTTTCGCCTTTACGGTGTCTACTTGGTCTCTGGATGCAATCTAGATCTAAACCGGGAGGGGTGATCAGCACCACTGCGCTGTAGAAGCACTTTGCAAATACTCAATCCACAAATATCGACGAATAATTCGCGTAATTCTGACAAAAGCAATCAAGGTTCTTAATCTCCAACAAACCCTTTTCACAAAAAATTCTACATTCACTAAATCTGACCGTAAATCAATTTCTATTGGCCCCAATCTTATAATAGTAACATGAATTGCAATTCATATGTCATCTTTGTGAAGTCATCCTGCCGGCCAACTTCAAACATATACTCGCTCTATGTCGATTTTCCTTATACATCAGCAATTAAGCAACGCAATGTTCCTGAATGCTTTCCACTACACTACACTGGTCCCTTTACTATACTTGTTTCTGCTTCTGGCAATAATAAATTAGACAATTTTCACCCAGTCAAGCTCGGGAAAACTTTCTCCAAAATATTTTCTGGTATTCTTAGCATCAACCCTATCGGTTCTAAGCGTGTTAAAACCACGTTTGATTCGGTTTAAAACGCCAACAATTGCTTTACTTACCGAACACGGCTACTTTGCGAATATTCCTAGCACTATATAGTGTTGGAGTCATACGTTTAGACAAAAGTATTTCTGAAGAAAACTTTTGTGAAGGTCATGAATGTTGAGAGGTATTTGTGCAATATTCACAGATTTAGCTATACCACGTAACTCATTTAGTATTACTTGTTTACCCAGCTTGGCTACTCATATAGTTAGGTTATAACGACATTTGATATATTTTCACAAGGCAGATCATCACACTTTTAAAAAATGTATAAAATTTTATGATTACAATCTATTCACGCATTATAACAGATTTATAAATAATGTTTATTAATAAATATTTTTTTTTCATAGGCAAATACAGTCAGAAATTAAGGGTCGCAATATATATTATACGGAAGAACAAGAAAATGATTATTTTGAAGTAGAAGAAAAATATTTTAATGATTATGATGAAGAAGAAGACTAACTATCAAGATTCTAATAATGGTCAATAATACTATCTAAATTTACATACGACGATGGATTTGAATAATCAACTTTTTTTTTTTATATAATACAAAAAAGAAAAATTGTTTTAATTAAGTTAGTTATTATTTTATTCTATATAACTTTTAATTAAAAAATTCTTAACATACAAAATAATGTATTTTAATTGATCCAATGATGAAACTGCAAATAATGTTTAAACAGGACTTGAAAAAACAATTTTTTAGTTTCAAATATTTTTTAATTGATTTATTTTGTTTTATTTCAATAAAAATTGTCAGTTTTTGAAATATATAAAAAAAATGTATAATATTTTATTTTAATTAATTTAATTTATGTTGATTAAAAATATATAATAAAGAACTTTAATACTATTGATACATTGCTTTTAACATATATATATATATTAGGGTGGCCCATATTTTATAGTCAAAATTTCAAAACTAGTTTACAAATCTGGGCACCCGCTATTTTTTTTACTAGTAATAAAACAAGTATTTTGGCAAAGTTTGAAGATAATATTCCAATTGGAAGACAGTGCTCAAAGACATTTAATATTAAATATAAAATTGAAAAATAGGAAATTTTGAGGATTGTTTTAAATTAAGTACAAATAGCTGAGTAGTAGTAAATTAGTTTATTTTATTGTATAATATTGATTAATAATACAAAAATCTTATAGGAAAGTACTGGTTGGGGTAAATAAACAATAAACATGGTTTAATGCTTTGAAGTTGATGGCTTCAAACTTTCAACAGCTACTTGTTTTGTCGTTTTGGACGGAACCAACTTTCTGTTAGCCTCAACAACTTGCAGGACCAACTGTTTCTCTTCTTCATCATTTGTCAAAAGCTTATTAAACTCTTCAAAAAGTTTCACACCACGCTCAGCTATATCATTAACAACTTTCATATTTTTTGTGATTTGTTTACCACTAATGTAATGTTCATTGCTGTTCCATTCATTTGGATGTGTGGTCAAAAAAATTGAATTTATTTTCAATTTATCAAACACCTGCAATGATCTTTTATTGGCAAAATCAGCCAAAACGGCCTGGTCAGTTAAAAGTGACAAATCTCCTCTTACCTTCCGGTCAGTAGGTTCACACTCCATCTTATTGACAATTTCTACCTTTTCCTCATTTGAAACTTTCTCTGAGTATAAACTTAAGCCAACTAACTCATCCGAGAGGTACCAAAGATGAGATTTATGGCATTTTTAACCACTTCACTAATTTGAGAATCAATAATTCCATAATTGGTCATGTCTTTCCACAGACAAAGGTCTGCCCAAGCAGCATTTGTAGCCATAGGGGCTTCAAACCAATATTTTACATATACAAGAGCTCCAAAGTTCACAAAGCGTTCTAACTGCAATTTTTCCTTTTGTGTGGTTTTGAAACTGTCTTCCTCACGAAACAAGTGAATTTTAATGGCGTATAACAATTTCGCCATCCAACGAGCGTGGTGTACTGCACCTGGAGCTCTCCAATGAATTTTATATGGAGTATGGCCCAGAGCTAGAAGAGTCATCTCTATTAACTCCATGTAATCATCTCTGGGCTGCTTATTCCTTCCTAAGACAACTAATAAAGCATTTACTGCATTGAGCTTTAAATTTTCACTGCCAGGAGCTTTTTCTAATGGTTGATAGTTTTCTTTGTGTATCAAAGGCCATGCTACCTTGAATCTCTNTTCTTTGTGTATCAAGGGCCATGCTACCTTGAATCTTTTGAATAAAGGAATGTCAGGACCACTAGATGGTCCGAAACAGAGAGTAAATACCTTACTGAGAACAATCTCCAAAATGTGGTGCCTGCATGGTAGCCATAATAATTCTTCTCCAATTTTATGTTCCAGCATAACACAAGCTCCATTTTTAAACCCTGTATTAACGGATGTAGTGGCACAACACATGCCGACTATTTTGTTCTCCAAACCCCATTCACTTAGTACATTATAAACTGCATTCGCTGCATTTGCACCAGTACCCCTTACAAGTTTTGGCACTCCAAGCAATTTCTCCTTACCATCTGCAGATACTAATACGGGCAATCGATCTACTTTATCAGTGCCCAAAATATCAGGAAGAATCTTCCCGTCCCAATGAACAATAACTGGATCGTCAAAAGAAACACATTGCTTTATTTCTTCAAACACAGCTTTTCTTCCTTCTTTCCTTTTGCGTTGAATAGTACTTCGTGATAATGGTAAGGAACTAGGGTCATGCCCCAATGCCGATGAAATAGGGACCATTAATCTTAAGGATTCCCTATCAGAAACCTTATTGCGATCTAATGCGCTTGTGACATGTTTAGAAAATAAAGATTTCTTTGCAATTGGTTCATTCTGTGAGTCTTTTTGGGATTCCCTTCTTTTAAAAGAAGATGGTGGCTTATACATATACATCTCTTCTGATTTATCTATGGCTGAATCAGATTTTTCTCTTGATTCATCATCTGAATTTGAAATAGTCACAGTTGGAGATATCAGGGAAGAGGACCCTGGCTCATTCCCTTTTTCAAGTCTCTATTGTTCTTTCATTTTTCTTTGAAATTTCCTTTCTTGTTTCATGTTGTATTTCATGTCTTCTGATGAAATAATCATATTTCTTTCCGTCCTCTGATCAATTAAAAATTCTCTGTCTTCATCTACTTTGCATATAGTAATTGCATCATTGTGAGCAATGTCAAATAACATATCTAGCTGCTCTTGAAATAGTGTTTCACGTTTCTTTTGGGTATCAGAGATTCTTCCTTTATTTTTTTTTAACAGAAGCCATTCAGAGTGTAATTTTTCAAGCTTATCAATACAATGTTTTACAAGTCTAATCGGGATAGCTGTTTTTTGCCACACTAAAATTAATTCTTCTACAGTGCTATGACTGGCATTTCGAACCGATTTTTTCCTTTGGAGAAAAAAATGGAATCTAAGAAGGACTTGCTTTATAGTTGGTAACTGATTAAATCGAGATATTGGTTCTAGATCTTTGATACCTATCAAGAATATAGTGTCCGCTTGACGTGTTGATGATAAAGCCATATTTTCACAAAAAAAGTCCTAAACAATGTCTGGTATAAAAACAGTCCTCACAAACAACTATTGATAGTTATATATTTTTAAGACATATTTCTTGGTATTTCTTTCACAAAAACAGCATCTGAAAGAAAACAAGAATACAGAAATCAATATTTAAGAAATAAGGAAATAACAAAATTTTAAAAACTTTGACGATGTTGAGCACTGCCTTCTACTCAACCTAGGACATTGAATTTTTGGCACTTTACTACTATCAACGAAGGTAAAAAAAATAGTGGGTGCCCTGGGGTATAGGGTAATTTTGAAATTTTTGGGCCACTCTAATATATATATAATATAAAACTAATAAATAATAAAAATAAACTTAAATCATGAAAAAACACAACTATAAAAATATTATGGAAAATTATTATCAATTATTATTAAATAGTCTTCATTATTTCATTAATGTGTTCTTTTAGCATCAGGAAAATGTTTTCTATAATCTGCGACAACTTGTAGCAAGTATTGCTTTTGGTATGCTTTTATAGTAATTATCAAGTTGTACTCTTCAATTAATTTCACTGATCTTCCTGTAGTATCGCTTATAACTTTTATACTTCGCACTATTTCTCGACAGTCTAGATAATATATATTTAAATTCAATTGTTCGGGATCTTCACTTAAAAAACAAGTTTTCATATCAAACCGTTCAAAAAAGTTTTTGAGTTTGCATTAATGAACTTGTCAATAGTTTTACTTACAAAATGTTTTATATTTTTTATCATTTTTTTTTACTATTTCTAAATGCTGTCGTAAAATAGGATCATAGTGGCTTATCAGTTCTATAATACCTATAAAGTTTCCATTATTTTGTTCTCCCACCATATGGCATTCTCCTCTTAAAGCCAATCCTCTTTCGCCTAAAAATAAAATTGATTCCAAAATACGTGTCAAAATGTATGTCCATTTTTGGGCTTCGTCTGTGTTTCTACTTCACAAAACATTAAATGTGGTCTTTAATGTTTTCATGTGATGGCAATCTTTTATATAATTTTCTCCAAATTTTATTTTTTGAGTATCCATCGGAGCTACTGAGATAGAAACAATTTAATGTGCTCGTTTTGAACAAGCGGCAAGGAAAACAATAAAATACATTTGTAAAGCGACTCCAAACAAAAAAATTCGCGTTTTACTTTTTCATCATTTAGCAAAGTTTTAGAAAGCAATGATAATGAATACGGATCGTTCAGTCGATCACGAAGAAAAGACGCTGGCATTTTTTGATGACCTTGACGAATAACTATTTCAATTATTTGTGTTTGCAATATCTCGGTTTTTTAAATACCAATATCGTAATTATAAAGATAAGTATTTCTTAAAAATTGAAAATTTGATTGTTTTCCTGAACAAATAATATTGTCACTTACTTCTGATTAATATTGAAGTTTACTACTTGTAATATCATTATATTAAATATAACATCTTTATTAATTTAACACATTTACATGATTATATAATAAAATGATCATCAATGAATATACATAATAATTTTTAGGTTATATACAGTGTTTCCACTTACATTGACAGAATATATCAATACTCCCCTAATGATGTAATAGAAAAAATCTAATTTCAGATTTGAAAACGGCGCGAAAAGTTGATTTAAAAAAGTATATTTTTGATTCTGATGAAAGTTCTTTGTAGTCCAATATATAAAACTTATAACTTTTTTATAAATAACCTTTTTTCTTATTGTAAACTATTGCATCAGCCCTTTAAATTTTTATACGCGTTAAAAGTAAAGAAATATACTACTTCATTATTTTTATAACATCACTGTAAAAATTACAATATTAAATTATTGAATATGAAATTCATACTAAATTTAATTACTAAAATTATTATTTATTCATATATAATAATTATAAATCAAATAACTAATCTGGATAAAATTAAGGGAATAAGAGTTATTGTTGTTTTTGAAATAATCTACCAATTTTTGAAAATTAAACACTAGCTACAGATTTACATCGAAGCGTTTCTTATGATAATGATTTTAATCACTGTCAGATATAATCTATACTTGTCCCAACTATTCCACGTCCATACTGTGCCGCGACTCCACTGTGCTACCGTTTTATTTTGTAAATATTCTATAATATAAACACAATTATTATAATTTTAATTTTAGTTATTTTTGTGTATAGGCTCGTAGGGTCCCGGGTCTAGTGCAGAGCCTAGAATTCTATATTTGAAAATAGCGAGAAATGGCAATTTGAAATGTAATTTAAGTATATTTTGAAAAAAATTTTATAAGCTCATTTTTTTAAACTTAAGCAAGGCTGTAAAAAAAAGCTCAAGTCCAATCGATGAGGACATTTAGTATGGCATTATACATATCTTAATTCAACTTAAAAAAAAAAAATTTGGTTATGAATTTTTTCTGCCACTTTTTCTTTTAACATGTAGTCCAATAAAAGTATGGCCGCACAGGTAATGTATAAACGCAACGACTTTGTAACGTGACAAAATGTGAATTTTATGATATTGATAGATTACTGTTTTGCTTTGCTAATGGGCGCGCGTACGTTATATCCGGCCGTGTAATCAGAAAACTGTACTGTTGCTGTCAAGGTGAACGCTATACACACAATATTCTTTATCAGTTTAACAATCGTTCCCTATATGACACATACACTGGCCACCACTGTCCATACCTGTATAACTCTAATATTGTTCATATTTTTATCTGTTGTATATTTTGTAAATCGTTAAGCCGATACCCTCTCCCAAACGGGTTCGTCGTCGTTGTGTCTCGCCCGGTGTGTAGAAATTTTTTCGTAGTCTCTCTTCCCTTTGAACCACCGTCGTGGTCTATTTTGCTGTGTGCGTGCAGCCAATTATAGTTTTTTTTTCTTGTTCGTTTATAAATATAATGTATTAATTCAGCAAGGCGTCGGCCATTTCCGGGGCCGAGATCCCCATCTTAGGATGAGTCCCATCCGGGACTGGGTATCGTATTGTTGATTTTTTTTCTTTTATTTATTTAATATAATGTATTGAGCCATTCTTTTTTCTTTTTCTGTCATAAATTAATTTTATTATGAGATATAAATAATTTTAGCGTTGCTGGTTATAAGGTTATTGGTCAGTGGTGTGTCATGTATATTTAACATATATATATATATATTATTCCCGCAGTACCCAAGTACGGTCCGGCCGGCCAGATTACAGAAATTATCCGCCGCGCCCGGAGTACACGGACTTGTTCCGATGCGGAAGACGCTTCACGTGTAATATTTAAAAGTTGTAGGTTAATTTTTTGTCTTAATAATTATTTTTTTTCTCTTCTCTTTTGTCCCTTTATTTGCAGAGTGGTTTTTGCCTTCGGGTTTTGTCCACTATTAACTTAATTGTAATAATTTAATAAAGTCCCCTTAATTTTCTTAATCAACAAAAATCTTTTTATTGCGTGAATATCTTCAATATTCACGTGTATCTTATTTTTTTTCCCTTTAAATAATTCTCTCTAGTTTTAAGGTAACGGTCTTCGACATACTAAAGTATGTCCACCACTGGTGACATCAAACAAACATATTGGTTATATTTACAGAGGTATCAGCGTATTATAGTATACAACAACACTTTATATTTTTAGTATATGTTTATATATATAAAATTTTTTTTTAATTCACTTTATCTCATCGAAATACATATTATTGGTTTTCTTATTAATTTTTTTTTAAATTTTTTTTCTATTAAATCCACTTATGGTCCGGGTGTTGTTCTTTTCTGATCAAGACCCTCGCCTAAGTGGTTGGCGACCCATTTTCCTTTTTGCAAGGGAGCCACGAGGGTGGCGACTCCACAATCCGTTGCGTGGCCCAAGTCGTCACCTCTCAACTTATATATATATATATATATATATATATATATAAGCTTACTAGTGGTAACTAAGTATGTATATATCTATACGACTCGTAAGGCCGCAAAATATATATTAAACGTACAAACGCACATATATAGATATTAATAATAACTACCTATATATATACGTGTATAATGGGAGATGTAGGGCTGCACTAGTGAATAATAAACGATCGCAAGACAACGAACCAAAAAATAAAAAGAACAGAAAACGGAACGCAATATCAATACTTCATATTCGGCGGCGGCGGCCTTGTTACGGTGTCAAGGGTGGGGAGACAACCGATTGTCATATTAATGGCTGGACGGCTGATATCGAGAGGGACACGGATGAGCGCTAGACTAGAGCGTAAAGCGGTGCCGTGTCACTTTGTTGACTTGTCTATAATACCTTGGTAGAATAAAGCCTACATATAGGAGCTCAGACTAAATTTTCATTTGAAATTTGAAAAAAAATTGTTTTACTAATTTAAAACAACATTAAAATTTAGTGGAAGAGTAATTTAACAATTTATTTTCAATATACATTATTAAATCTAAATAATGTACACAAGTATGAAAAAGTAGACACTAACATAACAATAATTGTCTTGCCTATAACCTGTTAGATTATTAATAATTTTAAGTTAAATTTAAGTTTTAATTAAAAACGTTAAAATTTTATACACAAATAATAACCATTAAAGCAAAATAAAGTACTCATTTTTTATGGTTATGTTACGCGTACTTAAAAACATATTCGAATTTATATATATTTAATGAATGTTTCATATGATAAAAATGCCATTTTTTATTTCATTGGTTACTTAAAACTAGTATAAAACTAGTAGTTGATACAGTTTTCATAAAAAGGTAAAAGAATTTTTGTAGTTTTAAGAACACGTGTTGTAAGAACACTTATTACTATGTTCTTTCCACTTGTATTATACACGTTTTATTTCCATTTACTTAATTCATAATACATATTAATTAGCACAAAGGGAGATGCTGATGTGACAATTCTACTCGTCTGTAGCTAAAGTAGAGTAGCCGCTAACGATATAGTTAAGATATAATATCGAAATATTATCACTTTTTGTTTTATTATCTATCACCAATTATAAACAACTAACTCCGTATCGCCTGGATTTACCTACTGACCAACTGTACTAGGATTCAGGTCAGACGTATTGTACATTACATATAACTTATCATTGCTAAACATCTAAAATATAACTTTACTTTGTCGTTCACATAAAACAACAGTTAAACATTATTATATATGTAGTATAATTATTAACACATGTACTAAATATCACATATGTATGAATAAAGCCAAAAATCATCTAAGGAATGTTTCCCTTTTAGGGTAATAAAAATAACTATTTATCAACACATGTTTCAAACCAGTCCCCTACAATTCATTAACTACGCTCACGGCAGGGTTTCTATCACAATTAACCAATCACAAATAATAATCTAACATCTTAGGAATTTCAATAGAGATCGCTGGTTTACTTCATCCGGCGTATAAAAAGCCATTTTTTCTCGTAAAAAGGGACGCTGACGTTTTTTTTTGCTGCTCCTGCTCTTCTTTTGGGACCTCTGACGACTTCGGACGACCTCTCTTCTAAATATTCTCTTACATGGAATCTGCGTCAGTATAAGTAAATATTTTATCCCTGTGACTTAGTTTTTTTT